AAAAACGGCAATTTGACATTGAAATTTGAATTCTGCCTGTTGGGAATTGCCTAAGAACAAAAAAAAGAAGAGAAAAAGTAAATACCAGTTAGAGAGAGACTAGACAATATATTCCACTTTTCTGAATGAATTTGTGTCTAAAATTGAAAACTTATCGGTTCATCGAACCAAACAAATGCATGGATCATGCTGTCTCTTTTAAGTAGTTATCTTATTTTGTTGAACAAAGGTAAAATAAGATAATGAAACAATGTTTCTTTTTTTATTCCATCATTTTTTGTTTTTGTTTTGTTTTTTTTTTTGTTTCTTTTTTCTAGTGTCTATTTCTCAATATTTCTATACAACGGGAAACAAAGAAAAAGAAGCTCTCGTTAGTAATTGTATATAGTTGTAAAGTGTATTGAGATGATGATGATCATATTGCACTAAGCAATCTTATCTCTTCTTTTTTTTTATTTTCGTTATTCTTTAGTAGCACACGCAGACATTAATTATTCTGATTATTGTTGGATGTTCTAATAAAATTTTCGCTTTTCTTGTTCAATACTCAACGTTTAACTTTGTTTTTTTCAACAACTGCTCATTATCATCATAATCTTAATAATTGTAAAAGTCTTATCCTAAAAAAAAAAAAAAAAGCTCAAGAGTAACAATAATAATTTTATGGGATGTCCCACCATAACAAGTTGCAAACATGGTCTCTTCTGTTTTTCTCTATATACTATAATGACATATCTACGCAAAGAGGAAAAGGAACAGAATGAAAGTCGACAGCAGATGATATATCCAAAGAGTGGTAGATATAAGGAGTGCTCAAAAAACCAAGTAACAAGTTCTTTTCATTCTTTTTCTCTTTCTTTTTTTTTTTTTTTTTTATTCTAAACAAAGGCTCTAGTTAAAAGGATAGACAGATAGACTACATCAATTTTCATCATCGGAAAAAGAGAGAAACGACGGGGAAAAAAAAGAAAAGAAAATACTAATATCTCTCTTGGCATATAGAGTATTTATACATAAGAAACTAAATTGTATCAGCAACCATCTTTAGGTTTTTTTATTATTATTTTTTAACAATAAACAAAAAAAATAAAAAATAAAAGACGAAGAGGAACAGAGGGAAAAAATTGAATACGATACAAATAACGAATGCGAAATAACGAGAGATGACCTTGTATATATTGGCCGTTGCGCATACTCTAACTTTTGGTTTTCCTTCTTTTGCCGGTATGTGTGTACGTGTCTATGTCAGCAGTATCACGTTCATACTTTCTCTCTACAAAGTCTAAATAATTCTTTTTACTATTCATCTACCCAACTTTTATGTCCAAGTTTTTAATTTTGTTCTACTAATCTTCAGCATATACATGGCTATATAATTAATGTCGAGGTAGGTCCCTACTAATTTTGTACAATTTTTAAGACTACACAAAATGACAGAAGTTCACTATAATCATCAGTGTTATTTAAAAATACTTAGATTATCTATATAGTTCAAGCGGATACTAATTATTCATCTTAGGCAGATGTCATTTGTATGCAAATGTGAACAGTGTTCAACTGTCTATTCCTCTAACCTTACATGAGAATCTTCTCAAGTGATTAAAAGCTTTTCTAATCAAAGTCAGCTTTTCATAGGATAATTCTCGATGTTGATCACGAATCCATAAGGAATCTGAGAATCAAGAAATTCTGATCTAACCAGTATGTTCATCAAGTTGACTATTTGAGAAAATTTTTTAGAAATATTTAGAACTTTTTTAAGAACAAGTTTTAATTGAGTTAGAAAAAGTGTACTATTAAAAAATGTTGAGATTTAATTCTATTTAAATGCAGCGAACACTAACTTTTTAGGTATTATTACAGTACACTTTTTCTGACTCAATTAAAACTTATTTGGTAGTGCTAAAAAAATTTCTCACATAGTCAACTTGATGAATTCTACGTACTAATTAGATCAGAATTTCTTGATTCTCACATTCCTTACTCGGAAAAGTTCCCGCGTTAGTCGAACAAACATATTTTAAGTCTCTTAGAACATTTGTCGTTTTGAAACGTTACAGTTGTCACAAACACTTTTCAGAATAGCTCTTTTTTTATATAAAAAAAATATTTTTGCACTTCTTTTTTTGCCTAATAGGTTCATTGAACTGCAAAACATTCGCCCTATGGAGATTATAGTAGAATATTTGAGAACAAATCACTTCTTATAAAACTAATCAGGAAAAACCATTAATAAAGGTATTACTAATAAAATTCTTATAAATAATGTGTCTTAAGAAATAATTCCCTATTTGTTGTATTCCCGTATAGTTAATTTGACTGTAAATGATCATTCATTTAGCGAATGACAATGATACTATATTGTGTGACGATGTTATTGTTAGGAAATTATTAGAATAGAAATGAAACTGTATACAAAATGTATCTATATTTATCTCTATTCTTTTTCGTTCTTTTTTTCCTGTTTACATTGAATTGTTGTTGTTGTACCAACGAGTAATGTAACTGGAAAATGTATCGTCAAATAAATTGATACGTTACGACGTCAACTTAGCTTGGTAAGTTTGTTGAATGATAGAAAAGAGTATGTCATTTGTCGCTATATAATAACATAAACGTACATAGACAAGAATTATAATTTAGAACATAATTTTAGATTCATGTTTATGTTTTTTGTTTGTTGCTATTAGATTCATTTCATTTATTTAGTTATGTTTTCATATCTAGAACAACAAGACAAGTTCATTCATCTTCAGATCTATTTAAAAATAGTATAGACGAATGATATTATTGAAGATAAACGTAATACTATAAGAAATAGTCACTCCTACTTTCCACATTGAGAACAATGATTATAATCAATAACAATATGAGCTAGTAAAACGATACTATCTTTTTTTTACCAGATTCTTTTACCTTCTCGTTTAGATTGTCTTTACTATCATAATTTCTAAATTCATTCTTTATAATAATTATATTTGTGGGTAAAGATCTCTCTTTCCTTCTAGTACAATAAGTATATACAGTTATGTTCGTGCATACCATATAATAAAGCACAGCATGTTCGATGTTATTTCATGTAATTTCTTTTTTTTTCTGAGTTCTCATTTTATTTTATTTTTATTTAGTTCATTAAAAACGTAAGAAACAAGACTTTTTATTGTCATGTCAAAAAAGTCTTTAAGCCAAACACACACACATACACACTAGGTGGTATAAAACACCACAACAAGCTCTCATAAAAATAAAATACATTAATTTTTTTGTTATATATGAACAGAACTTGCTGCTTTTCCATCATTATTTCATTTTTACTTTGTTTTTTTTCTAGACAAACGAGATTATCCGTGATGGTGCCATTCTATGATCAATCATTTTTCAGTACATGATGACGAGCAATGGTGGGTAAATAGTATTTGAAATACTAATTAAAAATATTTTCATCATTATTATCATTAGTTTATGGATGAAACGTTTATATACTGGAAGCTAAAGTAACACAGTTTTACTGCATTCGATTACTATTATAGATGCATTTAGCTCTCAAATCTTCAATTCATTTACACCTTTTAGCCCTATATATTTATGTTTATAAGTTTAAAAAAGTATGTCAATATGCCTGATAGTTTTTTAATATGTTTAAAACAATCAACTTACATTCTCTAGTTTTTCTTGAAAAAAAAAAGAAGATAAAAATATTTTATATCTAATATGTTCTATATCCATTTAGGTTTTTCTTTCTAGTCGTATGAAACTTCATTCAAGAAGAAGAAGAAAAATAATTTGAGGTGGAAACATAAAATGAATAATAAAAGTATATAATTTTCTTTTTCGTTTTGTCAGTTTATGATATGAGAAAGTTTGAGAAGCATGTTCTTAAATTGCCGTCTATTGCAATTAGACAATAGGGAGTTGTTGAAAAAACAACAACAACTCTTATTATATAGAAGAACATAGTGTAGTATACTGTTAGTTGACAAAAATCTCTCTCTCTCTTCTCTCTCTAGATATATATCATACGATTTTCATTTCTCATTAACATTATTATAGACCCATTTTAGGTCTATAATAGTTGAATTAACTTTGTCATCTAGTTCAACGACTCTATGATAAAATCTGTTTGATTCTTGTTTGTTTGATAAAGCACCGCGCTTGATGACATAACTATAATAAGACAATGATATAAGTGGCAATTGATCTTAAGGTCATTGGACTATGCATCGTTTCAATATTTCAAATATTGTTATAACATTTTTCATTAGACATAGCTCATCATTTCTCTATTTCTTTTCTTTTGTTATTAACAACAACAAAGTTTTTTTTTTGTTTTTTTTATTTTCGTTTTTTTCTTTCCTATCGTTCTTTCGTCTTTGAATGAACTAGCTACTATACTAACATAATATGATTAGACAGGCGTTTAAAAAAGGGAAAAAAAACAAATTCTAGGACAGTGTAATATATAGACTATCTTTTCAATACAATGTTTTTAAAAAATTGATTTCAAATTTTTGACACAGTGATATGTAGTTTGTATAATCGAGTACACGTGATTATTTTAAGTGATGATGAAAACTAGATCAAAAAAGATATATTTGGTATGAAATACTTTTATAGTTTAGATAAATAGTATACTGAGAAGAAACGTTTAGTCATCATATCTAAAAGATAATTTTATTTTTACGACTTTATATATCTTATTTTTTTTTGCTCAATTTTTTAAATTAATCAATACAAATTTCATCGATATGAAATTAAAGAAGATATTTATACTGAAAAATATAATTTCAAATGAATAATTATATAATTTAATCTATACTCTAAAAGTTTTTAATATTTATAAATATCAATTAATTAACATAGTTAAAACTATAGACTAAGGCTTTTTATTTATGATATATGTTAAAAGTGATAAAAAAATGATATCATCTATTGTTAATTTTTTTAATTTAGACTCTACATTGTCGGCGAAAAGAATATCGTCCATTCGTCGTTTATCTTCTATGCACTCATCTAATTCGTTTACTATATTGTATTCGAAACGAATATCATTTTTACTTTCATTTTTGTCAACGTTATCTCTATTATCTACAGCCGTGGCACAATCAAATCGTATTATATTATCATCAAATAAACAAACAAATCTTTCACAATCATCTAAAATTATTATAACAACTACTTCACTATTCGATAGTACTACTACACTACCTATACATCGTCGTAATTATCGTACAACAACAACAATTTCCGTACAGATAATAACAAATGATATTAATAAAAATAAAACAAATAGTCATTTAGATACTATAAGAAAAACAACAAAAGAAGATCATTTACGTCCGATACCTCAAATTATTGGTTTATCAATAGTTTGTTCATTTATGATTATATTTACAATATTTGGAAATTTAGTTGTTATTATTGCCGTATGTTTAGTTCGAAAATTACGTACTGCTTCAAATATTTTAATTGTTAGTTTAGCTGTTAGTGATTTATGGGTGGGAATTATCGTTATGCCATTAGCACTTATTAACGATATTTATCGAGGTTATTGGATATTAGGTACAATTATGTGTGATATATGGACATCGACCGACGTTCTATTATGTACATCATCGATATTAAATTTTTGTGTTATATCTATTGATAGATATTTTATTATTAATCATCCATTTAAATATGCACCAAAACGAAAAATAAAATTATTATCATTAATGATTGCCGCTGTATGGATTTTAAGTGCTCTCGTTTCATTACCACCAATTTTTGGTTGGGGTCGAGCATCAAAGCATTTACCACAATGTCAGGTGAACGTTGAGTTATCCTATCAAATATTTGCTACAATGTTTTCATTTTATATTCCTCTAATTGTTGTTTTAATTATTTATGCAAATATTTATCGTACTGCTCGTCAAACTGTCGATAATCGTTCAAGTGTACAAATGTCACAGTTTTTAACTCATAATAATTCAAATAGTATTATCAACAATACAAATAATACTAATAATAATACTAATAATAATAATAATAATAATAATAATAATAACAATAATAATAATAATAATAATACGAAAACGGCATTAAAAAACGATGGACAAATAACATTATTATCCGCTCAACAACAAACACAGTCAAATGGATTTAATATTCCTTCTTCATCATCATCATCACCACAAGTTATTGTAACATCAGCTGATAATGAAATTTTAGACGATGATGAATATTATAATAGACAACTAGAAACAAATACAAATCATCGATTATCTTCAGCATCCTCCACTATTCAACAAAAAGAACGTTCATTATCAAATAGACGATCTCGTAATAATAGTAATAGTCATCATTATAATAGTGGTGATTCATCGTCAAAAACTCGACACTGTTTAAATCCAGTACGTTGTCTAGGTAGACCTTTAAGTTCACCATTTAATGTCGGACGATTATCAATATTTGTATCTAGACGTTATTCATTTTTTAAACATGTACATTTACCAAATCAGAAAGCTATTCGAACATTAGGTGTAATTCTAGGAACGGTACGTGTATAAAATAAATGTACTATTTATTTATTTATGTTTGTTTTTTACAATTTATTTTTTTATTTATTTTTTAGTTCATTATCTGTTGGCTCCCATTTATGTTTTTAGCTTTATTAAAACCATTTCATTATAAAGTAAGTGGTTTGAAATTAGATGTACCCGGTTGGGTTGATTCTATGTTACTATGGTTCGGTTATTCATCATCAATGTTAAATCCATTAATTTATAGTAAATTTAATACCGAATTTCGTACACCATTTCGTGAAATAATATTTTGTCGTTGTCGCGGTATTAATGAAAAAATGAGAAGAAAAGAATATTTAGAGAATATGTATGGGACAGCACAAACTGCAGCTGTATGATATTGATTGTTCGTATGTATCTATGTATATCTATAAACGCGTGTTTTCTGTCTTTGACCAAAATGTTTGCTTGTTTTTTTTTTTTTGTTTTCATTCGTTGAGTTATGATAAATAGCGAGAGCTCATGTTGTTTCTGTTCATAGTGTCAACTAAAAAAATACAGTCAATTTTTTATTTTTACTCTTGGATCATTAATGCATTTATCAACGATTTAAACCGGTTTTATTTGAGTTTTTATTTATTTTTTTCCGTCAATTTTTCTCACTATTCCTTTGGTCTTTCGGTGGTGAGATGAAATGTTTATTATTTTTTGGACACACTTTTGTTGTTGACAATTTACATTACGATAAACCTCTTATACTAAGCTGATTACACAATTTAGTCGATTAAAGCATAAATTGAGAGAGAACACGAGAGAGATAGAGAGCGAAAGTTGTCAAATATATTGGTCAAATTAAATTTTAGAAAAGATTAGATTGTCATAATGTTTAAGTAATCGTACTGTTCACTTCTCGTCTTATATGATCGCCGAGTATTTATTATTTACTTCTTAGTCCATGTCATAAGTCATTGCTCTTTTAAAATTGACTTGAATTCCCTCGCCTGTATTGTCATAAAAGTTTCATATGAAGAGGTTGCTAAAGTGTTTTATTAAGGTGATGTGACCATATTTCTGTTAAAAATAAGATTTTCCCTTCTCATTTAGTTATTATTTGCGCGCATTTAATAACTTGAGAATGACATATGATACAGAATGTTTCTTATATTTTCTTTTTTTTTTGTCTTTTCCTCTATATATGTTCGGTATAATTTAGATTGATAGAAGCAATGACACTTCTGTGATAAAATACAAATAATTTCCATTATACTGGCTTTAGGGGTTCGTGTTATACAACTGATGTTGGCAACTTCTTTTTATGTATATCTATATATCTATTATTTGTCGCGTTTAATTTAAAACAAAAAAGAAAGAAAGGATAGAGAACAAACAATAATCATGTAGCAGTCGTTTTTTCCTTGAGATGTAATCATCATCATCATCATCATCATCATCATACACAATCTTTGGCAAATAGTAATGCATTTTTGATTATTGTTGAAATAAAAGTTAATTAAATTAATAGAAAAACTCACTGAAAATGTATATGCCTAAAAAAGAAAACGTGCGTTCTATATTTTTTTCTCACTCTTACACTCACAGTCTTGCTAATATATAGATAGATAAACTGATCATTTATGAATAAAATAAAAAAAAGCTCACAATATAATCGAGTTAACCCTTTCGTTGTACGATTTAATTTTTCTTCCAACGGTGAATATCTTTCTCTCCCTTGCAATACTCACACATAGAGTTCTTAAGTACGAATATATTTTTTTTGGTACATATAGCTGTATAAAAGTTATTTTTATTTCTTTTGGTTGTACCATCAAGTATCATTATATAAATACATGAACACACCGGTATAAGCCTCTTCGTTTTTTTTTCAACAGTATAAAAATTTTGTTTTTGTTTTATTGTTGTTGTTTTTTATTTTATTTTTCACTGTTCATATTTCATGACGATGAATAATTTGAGCTATTTTATATACATACAAAATAAAACTCGTGGGGTTTTCTCCACTCAGTATATTAGACTTCGGTATTTACTTTTTATGAAGTTACATCACTACTAGCGTGCTTTGTTAAGCAACGTGTCAAGTCTTAGAGATTAGATGATAGATGAATTAGTTAATTGATAGTTTCTATGCACCGTAAAGAGTAAGAACAGATATAGGATACACTTCAGTGAGCGAAACTCAGCGCAAATTTTTCAAAAAAATATGTTTTTGCAATTTGACCTGATTGTTGAGAATTAAGTACATATCGCGTTATATATTTGCGAGGACTTTTCAAATCCTAAATATAGGTGTTCGAGATCGATGAATTTTAACGTGCAATATGAAAAACTTTACGAAAAGATAGTTTTCGTTAATCAGTTAATGCATTTCAAAGTCGAACAGCGTAAAATATTTAAGTTAATTAAACGTACTACAAATACCTTAAATTAGCAAAAGTTGAAACGTCATTTTCTCAGTACGGAAGTTATCAAAACTCAAGATTGAAAACTTCGACACACCCTCTGAGCGTTTGGATGTTTTTTCAAACAATATCAGTGATTATGGACTAAATGCTGCTGGCTTTGCAGAAGGTAGACTACTGAACATCAATTTCTGTTAAAAAATGTATTAGAATATATCACATTCTATGCTTAAAATAGAAATCATAATAGAAAGTTCAACTTTGTCTATATTAATACCCATCATCTGATTAATGTGCGTCAGAATTACTACGGTTTGGTAGAAAACAAAATGAAGATGTAGGCATGAAACAAATGAGAAGCTTCTAGAAGAATACCATATTCTATTTGGATGTATACTTTTTTGCTGTCCAACGGTAAAAAAAATAAAAAGTTTAGCCCTCCCGGAGCTCCTCCCCACGTAGTTTATTAGTTAGAGTAAGTTTTCTAAAAGCGTTGAGAAAATTCAAACCAAAAATCCTTAAACAACAGTTTTCTCAAAACCCCATGATAAAAAATTCGATGATCCAGAGCTGCATCACTAAACTAAATATTACTCAGTAGCAATGATATCAACAGATTCAGCATCATCTAAACTTTTGGAACTCCGGATTTAAGGTAAATCGCATCAGTAATAATAGAGAGATAGCTGGTCGCTTGATATCGAATAGCCGGGAGATTTTAAATGATGTGTAGTCATGTAATCTGGAATGTATGAATGTGATTATACTGATTCAATAGCTGGTTTTCAACCATTGACCGATGTGCTTAGTCTGCAAGGACCGTTGGATTCAATATTAATGTGTGTCAAGTAGTGATGGAGGTAGACTGCTGCAGAATAACTATTGATAGTGTGAGAGTTGAGGCAATCTGCAAGGTTGGTTATCTCAAAAGTATATTGACAAGTGGTAACAATGATATTCTTGAAGTTTTTTATAATTTCGTAGGCTAGATGTATGATAAAAGAGAACACAGCGACTCCAAGTAGAATCCTATGTTCAACATCTACATTTATTTATTCCTTCCTCCGACTATTATAGTTCCTCATGCCTGGTCTCGGTGTTTTCGATTCAAGGTGTTTACATCAGAGATTCTAAATCAAAACTATAAAAAATCTAAATTTGTTTCTGTTGTTTCTTCGTGTCACTAAGATGAACCGTTTTCTACACCGTCAGTGTCTTTGAACCAAAGAATTATGTATATCAACAGAATCACTTCTTGTTGCCAAACTGTATGTCACATACGATCCCGAAAGAAAATTAGTCATTGATATATGTTTTGGATATTCCAGAAGGAAAGTTCAATATGACAAATAAGAAAAATTTATCAAGTAAATATCTTGAATATATTGCATTTTGTGGACTTTTACGGAAAGAATTTAGTAATATTCTTGGATCATCGGTTTTGTTCTATACTCTTGATTGCACATAAGTGAGAACATTTACTCAGAATAATTTAAAGAGTTTTGTATTTTTAATCTATATCTAAGTTAGACATGAATATTCGAGGAAAAGTCTAATAACGTACGTACCTAAATATCTGTTCCTCAGATTGTGGGTGCAAAAATTAACTCGATCTTTGACTTCCTGGTATTTTTCTAAGATTCAGCGACATTTCAGAACCCAGGATCTTGATTCAGCGGCATCAGATATATATGGCTGGCGACATCTATGCCTACTTAAAAGTAACAGAGAGTATGTAGGTTAGTATTAACGATCTATCGGATCGTGTTATCCATTTATACGGTATTCATAAATTCGGCTTTTATTATTTTATTGAACCTATACTTTCGCGTAGTTTATAATAATAGCAGGGTTGAAAACAGATACATGCTTTCCTGTTTACAAATAATCTTTACTCTTTTTTTGTGCACGTTTTAAAAACACAAGAAATTGAAAATTTTAGTGTTCTGCTTTCCTAATATTGGAGATGAGTGACCGAGTTGATCTAAGTTTAATTATCTCTCTAAAATTAATTAGACTAATTGTAAACTTTAAGTGGAAGCAGAGAGGACTATATATAGTTGCTCGGTCTGTCCACGTAACGGTCGCCTTTTCGTGATTCTGTCACGATTTTTATTCTTTTGCGAGTCTCTTGACGCTCGAACAAAAGGAAACTCAAGGACCGTTTACATCTAGTCTTGTAAAGAAAAGAGAGCTGAATAAAATGTGATATTTTCTGTTTCCGCAGGTTGTCATAGTTCTCAAATTAACAAAAGTTTTACGGGCCCCGTTTTGGCTGACTTTTGATTGGGGCTCGTAAAAATTTTCTTGTACTTGACGACCACGATATTCTGCGAAAACGGAAAATATCACATTTTGGTCAGCTCACTTTTCTCTACAAGACTAGATGTAAACAATTCCTTAGTTTCCTTTTGTTCGAACGCCAAGAGTCTCGAAAAACAACAAAAATCGTGACGGAATCATGCGTTACGTGGACAGACCGTGCTTCTACGAGCTTGACAGTAGTAGTAGATCGACGGTGATGACAACAACTTGTAGGTGGGTTGATCTTAAAGGTCTCTCCACAATTTTTTCTGCTTTTACTGTAGTTTATTGACCCCCACCCTACACCGATAGGTAAGGATATATTCTGCTTCTTCTTCTCCCCACGATAGAAAAAACCCATTCTGAGATAAATACATGGTCGAATAGCACAAAGTGTCTACTATAGTTTACGCACTATAGTTTATGTTGTCAACAATTCCTTAAAGGGTTTTCTGAAAGTTTTTCTGACCTCTTCGAATAAAAAAATGATCTGCTTTCTTATGCTAACGATTCCATGTGCAGATACACATGTTTATTCGATTCCTTTAGCCAATAATCCCTGGTAAACTACTTTTATTTTTCTCTTATATTGGGTATTTCAGCACAAAAACGTATTATAAAGCCAAAACTTAGTTGTTTGCATTTTTCTCATAATCGAATTTTGATATTATTGTCATCACTGCTTGCCAGATTTCTCCTTTAGTTCTCAGTGTGAAAATACTCATTTTATCCTGAAGAGAAGGCTTGTAGTTAGAGCTTGAGAAAGGGCCAGATGTTTTATCTCTTTCTTGTTTTAAACATTATTATGGAAACCGGTGTGTTGTACCATAGGGCGATATTAACTACCCATTAGTGGCACTCCATCAATTATCATTGCCGATGCATCTGGATCAACATATTCCCATAATTCAACAATAAAACATCTATAGACATCTTTTTAATGAATTTTAATTTAGAAAAAAGTTTCTTTTGATTCTGTGCATATAATGGACAGCAATGAAAGAAATAATCCGTTGTTTCTGCCTCGCTTCCACACGCACAATCAAATAAATAGATGCACTTACGTTTATGTAGATAATAATTTAACTGTGGAAAATTGGCTTTGAGGCCCATAAAAAGGTGCAGCTGTCCCATTTGGAGAAAACAATCATTTTAGAAACACAGCATTTTTTTCGTTTGCTAGTTGTCAAGCTAACGGTTTCCATTTTTCGCTCTCTTTTAAAAAATTATTGCAATAAAGCTGTAAACTAATCTAAAATTGCAACTAGATGGTTAAATAGATTAAATATTTCTCTATAAAATGAAACATGTCTGGGCTTTGAACGTTGATTCGTTATGAAAATACAGTTGTTGTACAAACAATCCAAACGATCGATTTGGAGCTGACTGAAAAATATATCTAAAAGAGTGAAGACGAGCTGGCAAAAATTGAACAAGTATACCAGTTTGCAGAAAATTATTTGCTCTACAAAATGTGATAGCTGCACAACGTTACCATTTTTCTTGTTTTTCTTTGATTAATACAGACAGATTAATTAGAATAGGTTCGAACGTGAAAAGCTATCACATTTTGTAGAGCAAATAATTTTCTGCAAACTGGTATACTTGTTCAATTTTCGCCAGCTCGTCTTCACTCTTTTAGATATATTTTTCAGACAGCTCCAAATCAATCGTTTGGATTGTTTGTACAACAACTGTATTTTCATAACGAATCAACGTTCAAAGCCCAGACATGTTTCATTTTATAGAGAAATATTTAATCTATTTAACAACCATCTAGTTGCAATTTTAGATTAGTTTACAGCTTTATTGCAATAATTTTTTAAAAGAGAGCGAAAAAAAAATCGTTGGCTGGACAAGCTGTTTAGCTAGAAATTTGTTGTGTCGGCGCTCAGAGTTGTTCTGCTATAATATTCTAATATTCAGGAGATGATTCCACTGTCTCGTTCCATTTCCTAGTTGTGACTGCGAAGAAATCTTGATTGTTTCGTTGCTTCCACTCGACCTTGCGTGTTGCTTCTCAAGTTGTGGTAATTTGTGGGTGTTGACGCACATGAATAGTCAAGTACTCCGGCGTAAGGTCACGACTTATCTTAGCAAACGTTATTAATCGAGTGTTTTGAAATCTATCGTTTGTTTCAATCCAGTTCAAAATAAGCAGCAATCTTTCACATGATGTTCCCTTCATAGTAGCTAAAACTACCATCGCTGCGTGATATCGCACAGTTTCAAGTTTCTTCAAACTAGTAACTGTTGTCAGTGAATGGATGGTACTCCCATAATCAAACAGTGGGATTTATAAACAACTTTCAGAACATTTTTTCGCAGCCACCATTTAATATAAGTTATCATCTATGATAACTCATCTAATTGACTTTACTCTTTAACAAATCTTTTCAACTTGAACAGTCCATGTTAGATCGAAGAAAAAGGGCAAGTCAAGATATTTGATTTAATCATACTCTTGAACTGAGCTGCTATTTAATATCAGTGCTGGAAGCGCTAAAGATTGTGTCTGATACCATTTCGTCGAAAAAGTGATGGTCTCATATTTCACTGGATTAAATAGAATATACCACTTGTTTGCCTACTGCTGTACTCGATCAATATCTCTATTCAAAATATCAGTTGCCTCAAGCCAATCAGATTGATGATTTATCAAAATTACATCATCAGCAAAAAGTCTCTCTCTATCTCTTCTTTATAGTTTTCTACAAAAACAACTCTTCCGAAACATAGTCAAGCAACTGTCAGGATTTTTAATATAAATTTATGTCGGAAGCATAAAGAAAGAACAAAACCCAAAAATCAGGTTCGAATCATCAGTTCTGGGTGTAGAATAAGGCGAACGCGACCTTTATCGCAGTTAAAATAGAGAAAGAATCTGGGAAGCAACAGCATCTACTTTTTACTTTTATTTTGAGGATAATTCTGAGCAGATCCAACCGTTTAATCTTAAATTTTCCTCAGGAACTGATCTATGTAGGAGTAGGTAAATCAGTAGAAGTATATTTCTACCTAAAGAAACCTAAAACGTATTATAAATCGTCATTGTACGTTCGTCATTTACAGGTTCACGATTTTTCTTTTGAATATGAGAGCTTTTATATAACACCGTTTGGTTATCTATACAAAACCGATAAAGATTAACAGTTTAGAAATCAAAGCAATCGATGTGTGACTGTGTCAGTCACGCCATATAAATAATTTTTCGTTGGACTTTTTAGTACTGATTTTTGTATATGACTTTGATTTTTCATAGTTTCTACCAGCGTGATTAGAGCAGAACGCATTTTTGTTTTATTTTCATTTATGTCTGTGTCACCATTCTTCAAATTAAAGTCCAAGAGTGTTTGTGTTGTAACATTTGATACGTTTGAAATACGTGGTTCAGTACGTCGTTGTTGTGGTGCATGCAATGAATTTTCAGTTGCTATCCCTGTTGTAGTTGTTTCATCATTTTCACTAAAACGTTGAAGAAGAGAATAGCGACAATTTTCAAAAACGGATGATATTCTAGGACTACTATGAGGATAGATAGAAGAATTTGTTAATGCGATTGATGACAATCGACGAGTTCGTTCTAAATCTGATGCTGTTGATAGACGATGTTGATGAGTAATTGTTCTTGAGGTATTTGGATATGATTCGTTTTGTTGTCTTGCACTCTTTTTTCTTGTGGAAAATCGATAAGGATATTGAAGACGATGATGACAAAAACAAAGCAGAAATAGACGATGAAGTTCATGTCGAAATATTCGTCCGGTAAATGCGTATAAAAAGAAATTAATACTATGATTGATATACTGTGATATTTCTGCAATAATTTTTCCAATTGATATTGTCACAACTAATTGCACTGAACGTTTATCAATGTTTGGATAAATAGCATCAATTATTTGCATTATCGATATGGGCATTGAACAAATACAAAATGCAAATGAGACGGTCAATAACATCGATGTTAATCGGCGATTAACACGACGATAATTGTGATTATGATGTAATGTATGATTGTTAGCGTGACCATTATTACTGGTCGAAGATGATGAAAATGAAATGGAATATGTTGTAGATGTTGTTGATTGCTGCAATAATTTACTATTCTGTCTACTATGTAATAGACTTCGAATAATTAATATGTTTAATGATATTAACATTAAAAATGGTAAAAATGAGTACTTGCAACTATCAATCCAGGTAAAATATTTAATAAATAGAGAATTATCATTAACAGGCATACAATATGATTCAAAAGATAAATGAAATGTCCAGAGAAAATGAGAATTAATGAGAAAAAATAATAAAAATATTGTTAAAAGAACATATTTTGCACGTTTAACGGTACATAATTGACTAGCTTTTAATGGACGAGATACCGCAATATATCGTTCAATTGTCATGGCAACCGTTATCCAAACACTAAAAACACAAAAGATTATTTTTTTAGCATATATTTATATATATATAATATATTAATGATCTTTAATACTATTTTACCTGCAGTCAGCAAAAAAAAAGAATAAAAAAGTACATAATTTGCAACAAATATTACAGGCTAATATTGGTCGACTTTTTTCTAATAATTCTAACCAACGATTTAAACATCCTATCCATAATACACATGAATCAGTAACGGCTAATATGGCCATATAAAAACAGGAACTTGATAAACGCATGCGTCCTCGACGCATGACAATAAATGTCAACACATTGCATGTTGTACCAACCAACAATAAAAAAGGTAAAATAAATTTTTCACTTTCAGATATTAATCGTAGTAAACCATTTGTGCTGATGGTATTGTTAGATGGAACTACCATCGACGAACTATTATTTAACATTGCAACTGAAAATAGAAAAAACTATTAAAATTCATTCACAGTTAGTGTATGCGTTAATGATTTATTCTTATTGTAAACTATGTATCCTTTTTTACGAAGATGAATTTAAGAGAGACGAGTGAAGCGAACGAGAGTTATACATATCTCTCCAATTTGTTCAATTGCTATATAAATACAAAACTACGATTCTAATCTTCTATTTATGATATACAACGCACATCTAGAAAGAGTCACTAATAAATCGAGTTATCTGATCAATAATCTTTATATTATTCATTCTATAAGGTTGTAAGCAAATGCAATCAATACACTTTATTTATCTATTGATCTAAAGGCAGCAGTGGAGACAAAGTTTCAAGCTCTCAGGTTAATTAGAACAGTCAACAATATTTGAACAGATTATTCATTATTATTTTTTTTTTTTGATTTCTTCATATTATCTTTAGATGTTGAGATGTAGAAACCAGTTAGCTATCTGATACATTATTATTTTTTTCTTAGTGCTCAAATGATGCGACATTTTCGAGCAAATTTTGCGATATTCTTCATCATCTGAAGAGTTCTAATGTATTACGTACACAGCTACTTTAAATTGAAGGTATACAAGTGAACCAAAATACTTTTGAATAATTTTTACTAAATCAAAGTAGTGATACTGAAAACCCGGTATATAAATAGAATAGGACTACTCTAATGATACTGAGTCGATACCTTCATACTACTCATTCACTATCATCTTGTTTTTCAAGGTTTCTGTACGTACATGGTTGTTTTTAGTTTCTGTGCTGATTCCATTTTCACAATGTACTTTCGCTTTTTTGTATCTTGAACAAAATAAACATCATCGCATAGAGACTATCATCTTATGAGAAAAACATACAATAGTAGAAGTAAATAAAAATGTATGAAAATAATTATTAACGAGACGAGTGTAGTACCCCTAATTTAGTACTAAGACGTTTACTATTCTCTCAGCAGAGGACAGCAATCTTCAAATAAAGAACGAATTGATCTCTGAATGTTTCATTAACGAGTTCATGACGCAATAGTCATAGTTAATCAAACCAAAAAAACAATGTTTTCTTATTAAATGATATAGAAAATATTAAGAAGGATATACCTGTGATAATTAGATCAAAACTTCATTTTAAACGTAAATCTTATTTTCTAAATTGTGAAATATCGCCTCATTCTTATTTATATAGGTGTTACATCAACTTCATAGATAGATACAAATGTATTTAATACACGCAACAAAGACTGAACAACCGAATATATATAGAGATACATGTACCTTAAGGACAAGAGCATAACCCGTTAAAAAAGTATTTCATATATGGATACACAGACAATCAAAACCTCGATTTATTTCATTTTAAATCAAATTGTATCAACTTATAAGAACATTATGCGTCATACGCATTCATGTTCATATTCATCATTCACTTTTAAAGAAAGAAATCTCTACTTTTCCCTTTCTTACTCTCCGTTTTATATAATAAACTTTTACATATAGAAATCCCCGATAGGTTTTTTTTCATATATTTGAATATGATACTTACATGATTGAGAACGAAGTAAAATACTTTATAATCGGACTGTAAGATCAAACTTATTCTAACAAGTAAATTAATTCAACAACGGCTATCACCTTTTCCCAAAGATCTATAACTACTTCGCTAATACAGTACTTACTTGTTTGATTCTTCATTAACCGAATTCCATGTTCTAACGTTCATAAAAATATATTTCAACGACACATTCTTAATGATATATACTACGAAACAAGTCATGAGTGAAAATGTCTGACGGACATCCGTCTATCTGTTTTTCTTTTCCATGCCGTATTTCGGACAATCTTTTTTTTTTCCTTCTCTTTATTCATTATCTAAATCTAATAGCTAAATTACTTTTAAGAGATACTACGTAGTTCATCCATTGCTCAAATATTACATAACAAACATATTTATTTCTTCTTCTATAGTCTCATTTGTCTTTTTCAAGAAATAGAAATAGGAAAATGATCATTTATAGCTTAAAAAAAAAAGTTTCATATCTATGCAAAAGAGAAAATTGTTACATTGTATATGATTTTATTATTGTGTATGAGAAACCGTATATACACTCTAAACAAAGCGACAGATTTTGTCGCAAAATCACCATTATTCTACAAGGACGCTAAAAAAAACTTTCTGTTTAAAAATCATCCGTATCCTCAATTTACTAATGCCATCTCTTTTAATTAGATTTTTTATTACATCTTCATTTTCATAAAAAAAGATGGATCCAATCTCAAATTTCTTTATTATACAGTTAAATGACGTGAAATTATATATTCTTTAATATATTGAACTTTCCAATCAAATAAAAAGTATGAAACGTCTTCTTGAAATCGCTCGCCTAAATAACTTGTTAATTAGCTAGATGTTTCTCATACTTCAATACAGGTTTTATTTATAATGACTTTTGAGTAACTTATGTCATTTTTATTCGTCTACATATTTTTTTTCTCTAAACCAACTTGTTTTTCATATTAATTTTTAACGGCTATAAAACTCTTTTGTTCTGCATGTAAAATTCTCTTTTACATAGAGACAGACATTTGACAATGTTCCATCCGATATTTAAATTTTTTTTTTGTCGGTTTGAGTACAAATGAAGAGACATTCGCTAAACTTTTTACATAATATTTTTAGATAAACGATTTTTTTCCTTTATGAATACTATCAATCAAGAGACAATGATTTATTTATTTGCAGACATAAAGAGAAGATCAATAATTTGATAATTTTTGTATATAACTATCTATATCTGTGAAATAAATTTTAATATAAATACCTTATTTATTATGTTCATCTATTATCATATAGACTGTGTGTCTGAAATAGAGGGAAAAAGGAGAAGAAAATACATACCATACACGAGTTATCCATCACAAGGAATAGAGATAGAGATTATAGACACAATCAATCGATATATCTGTGTCATCAATATTTATAATAAAAACCGAACTAGTCCATATTTAGACGGGAATTATATACACGTGGTAATTGAGAATACATTATGTAAACAGGAAGATGGTACATCTAACATATTTTAAGTCGGGACATAACCTTATTTCTCACCTAATCTAACTACTATGAAAGAGCTTTCAATATTTTCATATAAAAAAACACTAATTTCTCAACGATTTTTAATTATGTCCGACATTTTGATTCTCTTTCTCTCTCTCATTCCTACCTCCAAAGTCTATAAACAGGAAAATTTGAGGCTCGTCATCAATATGATAATGACATCTTTGATTATATTCTAACTATTGTGTGATAAGAACCAGAGACCTTGTTTTCTAAATTATATATTCTTTGATACATAAGTTATAAAGAGCACGATGTCAAGTTTTCGAAGGTAGTTAATTTTCATTCTTTACCCTATATTTGAATCTCTATAACTCTTTTTCTCTCTTTCGTTGGTTTTTTGTGGTATATGTACATTTTTTCTCTTTGTTTGCTCTGTTATCTCATTCGCACATCATTTTTTTTGTTGCGCATCGTACAATGTTATCATCATTTTTTTTTGCATGAATGACATTTATTCTATGCATAAAAAGTGTATGCAACCTTATAAACTTATGATCTTTAAGCACCAGACGACGTTCTATCAAGGTTTGTTACGTATTTATATGGACAGTCATCAATTCTTTCAATTCTTTTGCTGAAAGAATAAATCAACTACGACGGGCACGACTAAAGTTTCAAGGATTTTATTTTGAACATGTATGCAATGTCAAGGTCGCTGATAATGCATGTTCAAAGCTATGATAGAAGTCGTATTAGTAATATGCACAATTTTTACAATCATCCGAATGTACAAAAATCATTTTCACCTCATCAACTCGTTCATTTTTATTTATAAAAATTACCTATACTTACTCATAAAGTTCATAACATCTGTTCTGGATAATTACGTCAATAAATCTTGCTATGTCATGTATGTGGCGAGATTGTTTATGAGTGCAACAGCTCTCTGTCTTTAGTAAAGACGTTGTCGTCAACTGATATTCACGTGTTACTAATCGAATTAAATTTTCAGTAGATGACTCTTTATGGTATTACTATTTTAGAAAAAAAAGATTTAACATTTCAATGAATAATGAAAATATTCATTTAAAAAAATGATAAATATTGTGTTATATGTATATGTCATTGGCGTCTATTATATGAAAATCCGGATATGTTAACTTCTGTGCTTCATCTAATGAAGAAAATTAAAAGATAGTTGATGCATATGTATAAAAATATATACATATAGACATAGAAAGAGATATAGCATAGCATACAACAGAAAGGATAGAGCAAAAAAACGGTGGTTAATGTATTCAGAAACAAAGAATATTATATCTTTCCTATTTTGAACTCTTTCCATTTTAAAAGATAACAGTATGTTTTTCTTCTCATAAAATTCACTGTAAGTTTTGATAAAAATTCACGCTTTATATGTTCTATGAATCGTTCTTGTTGGCAATAATCGCAAGAGGACTTGCCCAGCGTGCAATTAAAAAGAGGTGGGGCTGAATAGCACTGTATTAGTAATTTCTTTTTATTGTCTTATATATTTCATTTAATTTACTGCTTTTAAACTCAAAATGAAAGATGACAATTTGATCCAGTATACAATGGTCACTTTTACTTAGGATATATCTGAATTTGAAAATGAGACTTGAATTAGTGAAAAATTTTTAAATTTATTAAAATTATGGTATTGTACAAAATCTAAATGAGCCAAGTATTTTTTTGTATTGCTTCTCGTATGCGGGTATCTGTATGAAATTATCCAGA